TAACAGCAGGCAAACTGGTAATTAGTATAGGTTAATAAATAATTTTCGATAATGTAATAAGAAGACGAAGATATATTAACGCGATACCTTTCGAACAATCTGATCACACATAAACTTGTTAAGAACATTTATATATAAAAATAGGTCAACTTGACTGGAAATGGGGTAAAAGGAGACAATGATAATAATAAGAGTAATAATAATAATGTCAACCTAATCACTCTGGATAAGTCAATATTACCAGGGTAGGTTTAAGGTGAGAACAAACTGTTTTTGAATACACAAAGGAGGTTTGAATTTTCGTATAGCTAAGGCTTCAATAAACCTTAGTATACGCCCATTTACACTTTTATACAACAACACAAAAGCCGGGTTAAGATCAATCTTATGGCGTGTTTCGATTATATGTTTAGCAAAAGAGGATGATGGATGTTTATCCTCTACTCTTATTAAGTCACTTGATTGTATTTGTTTCTGCAAACATTTTGGTATATGTTCACATACCCTAATTTTGAGATCACGATTACTCCTCCCTATGTATGTATGACCACACACACATTTAAATTGGTAAACACAGTGGGATGTGACACAATCGTTTTCATGTCTTTTAGGTTTTGGATGAAGCATGCACCTTGTTGTTTCCCTGATATAGACCTTCACTGCACAATGTCTTGTTAATGACTTATTTAAACCTTTGTTTCAGTAAAAGGCTAGTTGAATCACTTCTAAATGGTAAAGTGATGTAGACAGGCTTTTTTCTACCAAGGCTACAGTAGGTCTCACCGTACCATGGACTTTCCAACTTTTTGTAAATTTAAGAGGATAACCATCTTCTATTAATGTTTTATTTAGCAGCCTAACATCAATTGCGTCATTTGTACAAATACGACCAAGCCCGTTCAAAAGACGCCTTATCAAACCCCGTTCATAATTCACTGGGCAATAACTATAATAACTAAGGTATTGACCTGTCCACGTTGGTTTTCTAAAACTGGAAACGCATTTGTATATAGAAAGTCTATTGTCGAACTTAAGTTACCGATTGAGGGACTTTTAGCAGTGCGCATTAACGATCCTGCTCGCGGGATTCGAACCCTGGGCCTTCAGTCTCGCACGCGAACGGTTTACCTACTGGATCACTGAGACGGCATCCAATGGTGTTAGTGTCTAACATCAACCATATAATGACCTAACATCAATGATGAACTCAATCAAAAACTTAATAATCTCCACCACCCCTATACTGTTCATTTACCAAGTTAACAAAACAGTTTCATGTGTTCTCGACAGCAAGCAACTACATATATTGAATATTGTCACTTACAATGTGAATTCGTATTTTTAATAATGATTTTCACCTAGTTTGATATCAAATACATTCACTGATTTAGTCATTGAGCTATAATAAATACAAAACAAATTTACTAAATTCCTTATTACTCACGTGAAATATTATAACTAATTAAGAATTTGACTGAGTGTTTGTAAACTTTATAATGTTTACTGATGACAAAGATGATATGATAAATGATTGTTAATCAATAAATCTACTTTATCGGATAACCGATTCAAATATTTATCAATCATGATTATTTGTTTCCCCTTTTTTGAAACGTATACAATTCTAGGAAAGTATTGTCCTAGGTGTTTCAATTTTATTTAGGGTCTATTTCAATTATTCTGTAATATACGAAATTAAACAGGAAATTTATCAGGTTATTATTTGTTACCATATTTTTAAATAATCACTACCGATTATAAGTTTCAAATCTAAACATTCCGATTATATTAGTTGTTAATTTTCTACTGATTACTCTAAATATCTTTTGAGAAAACAATCTGTATTTAGTAAATTTTTTCCCCTCCCTCTTTTTTTTCTCTTCTGTTCAAATGAATGTATATATGTAAATGTTTAAGAGTTAGTAGAGTTTTTATAAATTAATTGTTAAAAGCCGAGGGTGATTTGCATGGTAATGTAGTAGTTGTGGATCATGCTAAAAATCCCGCTAAATGTATGAGCTGCTTCCAAATTATTTTGACAGTTCATTAATTAACATATAGATAGTACTCTCTAAATTAATCTTTTTTTAAAAAATAAAATAAAATATGAAGTTTACAGGAAGTTATGTGTTATTTTTATATTCTAACATTTCCTTTCTATTATACATAGTTTAATGTGATGTTTTGCTATTTAAACATTTATCTAATCTGAAGAGTTTGGATAATGCGTAACACCGACAAAAAGCTCTGATGAACTTTTTGTTAGACACTATGACAGATTGAACCGGAGAATCCGTAAATCAAATGAATAGAACTGTCATAACAGAGTAATGAATTCATTCGTGGCCTAGTATCATAAACAATCAATTTTATATTTATTCAAATTAATATTTGCGCTTACATTTTTGATCGTTTTGTAGATAGTGAGTAATAGTAAAATGACAAACATTTTTTTCTAATCTCTGGCTCGTCAGCTGGGTGTAACTCAATCCAGTTAGATTCAGTTATTATTATTATAGAAAATAATCTCTTCTGAATAAGATATATATATCTTACCACTAAAATAATGGAGAATATTCATGATTAATTATCTTGATAGTTAGAAGACTGACCTTCCTTTATGACTTTTAATAAAAATAACAATATTGTGGTTTGAATATACATTATTAACAAATCTCATATATGCGATGAGTTTTGTGGATATTATAGTAATTTCAATGGTTAAGATCATGAGTCAGTTGAAGCTAGACCACCAGGGAAAACCTAAAAACACTGGACGGCCGGACAGTTTACTGATTTAGCGTTTTATTTATGTATTATTTTGTCTCATGCGTCTAAGGGAAAACGTATTAGAATTTTTTCTCAATTCGACTTATTCCTTTTTTGTTCTCACTTCCTTTTTCCTATCACTGTCATGAACGTGAAATTATTTATTTCCAACTTATTTATTTCTATTAAATGAATTCAAATAAAATTTGGTTTAATATGAAATAGATCATATTTACTTCTTTACGTCTCTGACCCGTCGTCAAGGAGCATAGGCCACCCAATAGCACTGTCCATCCAACCCTTTCCTGGGAAATCCTTCTTAGTTGTCTCCAGATGCCATTTATCTTTTTCATACCTGCTTCCATTTCCCAACGTAGTGCGTTCTTCGGTCTTTGTCTTTTCCGTTTCCCTTCAGTATTCCGAGTAAGCGCTTGCCTCGTGATGTGGTTTGACGATTTCCTCCAGGTATGTCCTATCCATTTCAAGCGTCTTTCCATAATTTCCTCACCAGTTGTAAGCTGGTTTGTCTTCTCCCATAGTAGTATGTTGCTGATGGTATCCGGCCAATGGATGTTGAGTATCTTACGTAGACAACCATTTATAAATACTTATACCTTCTTGATGATAGTTTTAGTAGTTCTCCACGTTTTAGCTCCGTACAGTGGGACTGTCTTGATGTTCGCATTGAAGATTCTGACTTTGATATTGGTTGACAGTTATTTTGAGTTCCATACGTTCCTCAATTGTAGGAATGCGGCCCTTGCTTTGTCAATCCTCGCCTTTACGTTCTCATTCGATCCTCCTTGTTCATCGATGATGCTTCACAGCCTAAATCAACTATTAATATAATATTGAGTAGTTTTTATTTATATAAAAATGAAACATATACTGTTCATAAATGAGTACGAAATGGTTAATGATTTTTCTACATACTTATGTGGTTGAGTTGAATAGAAAACGTTTTTTTTTAGTTAAACGAAAAAATAACACTATAATTACTGAAAATCCTTTTGAGAATTTTTTTAGTAGTCGAACGTCACACTACGGAAACAGGATATATTAGGCATAGGGATAATAGTGATCGAAACTAAACGAATAAATTCTTAAAAAAACGTATGGGTTTTGAAAATCATTCAACTCTGCTGATTTATGCAATGCAAAAATCTCCGTGATATGATATAATAATCTTCCTAACATATAACTAGAACAATTAAAATTCGTTCTTTATGTTGTTTGGAAAAATTCAAACTACCATTCAGTTTTAGTAATGAAATCACGAACTGACATAAGCTAGATTATTCATTGAAAATTACAAACCATTGTATAGCTTGTTCTTGTTTTCATAATAAAGTACTCCCTAGTAATGATTATTCATGACCTCAATGAAGATTAAATAAAGAAGTTTCGTGTATCATTGTGAGAGCCTAACCTATAAACTACTGAGATTTGTTGATGATTTATGTACCTAACTTTAGTCAACCTGGAAATAATGGAAAACAATTTTTCTACTGTATTCAGTGGATATCTGCTTCACAACCAACACCACCGGACTTTACTCGGTAGAATCCTGAGCATGTACCCTTGAAGTTAACCATTACTGAACACATAATAGTTGTTAGTATGGAAGAATGAATTGAGTAGATCAAAGTTGAACTCATTGTGTAAAGTTAAACTAGTAAACCATTGAATACTGGCTCATCATACAATCAAATTAATTAAATACAATAACATGCTTTCCTATTTATTCCAATACCATGTTCACATCAATAGAAACAATAATATTTCAAAACCATATACTATAGATTATCATCTAAACGTGTATTTACGTTCCCATTACGTAACAGCTTACCTAATTTAAAATGTTATATACAATGAATATCTGTTTCAACGAATTACATTTATATTGATCATATGCAGAAATTCATGGTGGAAAGAAATCATTGTAAAAAGTTAACAACAACAATAAAAAAATAATAATAATAACTATGTATATTGATTATACAGTAATAATAATTAGACACTAAAATAAATATAAAAATAAATTGCGCCAAACTCTCCGAACTACATTTTGAAATGATTGGTTACGTCTTTTATCCAGTAAAAAATAACTTTGTATTTATCTATTCACTTATTGGTTAATGCATAAATGTGAAATAAATAAGAAAACAAAAAAATACATAATAGGAAATAAATAGTTATACAATAATTACAACTCATTTAATTGTATCCTATTTATTTTGACAAATAATCTATAATATGAGACCAAATGGTTTCAATTGTATTACGACTTTTTGTTACAATGAACTACATATATAATTAATATTGTACTGTGAAAAGTAATGTGACCTATATACATTAAAATGTCTATGTTCAATTAAAATATATTTTATAATGGAATCTAACTATTCTCCAGATATAGGCAAATTGATTATAAAAGTATATGCAAGTTTACTATTATTATTTGGTCTACCTGGTAATATTATTAGCGCTATTATAATGGGAGGTGATCGGTCAAATCGTTTGACAACTCGTTTAATTATTATTATTCTAGCTATAGCCGATAATTTGGTTTTATTAACTGCTGTATTACGTTATTGGTTCATGGAAGTTTGTGGATGGGATTTACGTTCATCTGGTCCATTAACTTGTAAAATTCATGTTTTTGCTGTAGGATTTTCAACAGATTTTGCTGTTGGTGTATTATGTGCTGTTGCAGTCGAGCGGTTACTTGTTGTTACACTACCTTATAAAGCATCTAAATTAGTAACATTAAATTCTGTGATAATTGGTATGATATGTTTTGCTTTAAGTGTAGCTATAAAAAATTCACCACACTTTTGGATGATGGGTGAACATAGATCACAACAATCTCAAATAGATTCAATAAATTTGTACAAAATCAATCAAACCAGAACGAGTGGGACCATGAATACACATAAAATGTTTATAGAAAACTCAACTAAAAAGGAATCATTTAAATGTACATTTGTATCAGAATATGAATTTATTTTTAGAATTTTTATGAAGTTTGATCTTATAAGTTTTGCAGTTCTTCCTTATTTAATATTATTTACAAGTAATGTAATTATTTATATAAAATTGCGTAATCAACGTCGGTTGATGAGATGTCATGCCAATACTACATCTATGGTTAGTAATACAACTAATACAAACATTATATCTAATAGTACACATTCAAGTAAAATACAACGTAAATTAGATCGAAAATCAATTAATCAACCAGAATCAACAAATCAACTACAACATGGAGATACACGATGTAAACGTTCAACTCGTCGACCAGAAAGTGTCATCAAATTATTAACAGCATTAACTATAATTCATGTTATTTGTACATTACCAGGCACAATTTTTACTTTTCTGTCATCTTATTTTAATTATTTTCACAATATGCCAAAACATACTCATGATCAAATTAAATATGGTTTAGTTATGTTAATATTTACAAATAATGCAATTAATTTCTTCGGTTATTGTATTTCTTGTACAACATTTCGTCAAACAATTATTCGTAGTTTAAGTCATTTATGCCATTGGAAAACGAATTGTCATAAAAGAAAACCAAATAATGAAATACGGGATAATAATAATAATAATGGAAAATATAAACCAATGGATCAAAAAATCATAGGTAATGTCAGCTTAATAAAAAAACAAGACCAATATACATGATATTTTAAGTGAAAGATGTTAGTGAATTGATTTCAGACCATGAAAATTATTGATCTCATTACATTGAACAAAGTTGACCAATATATGAACAAACTAGCAATTATCGTTGAACTATGTCATTATTATTACCAGAGTGAGATGCATTTACTATTATAAGTGTATTATTGTAATACAACTGAACATTTACCTGAAACAAATATTGAATAAATAAATATATTTTCAAATGTAAGAAACCCGGTTGTATTCATTGAATAAATTAAAGTAATATAATATAATCATTTATGCAAACACATTATGTTGTTTTGAAGAATATGAGCAGTTCGTTTCATAACTAATTTGCAAGTAAATAACATTTTATTTAACTCATTTTTGTATTGGTTGTTTAAATGTTCTCATTGATGTTTAGAAGTGCAATAGATTAGCCTCTTATTGGTATACGTACATCCTGTACGGATTGCTTTGATATTCCTTTAAGTCTCAAACATTAAAATCAAAAATGGATAGTGGTTAGTAGTGAAATCCGGGACACACGTTTCGTTCTATTTTAGACTTGACAGCTGAATTTACCTGCATCCCAAAGTTAATGTTCAATTACAGTCCTAAACATCAAAGACTTACTAAAATTAGTTATATAACGCATTAAAAAATATGGACATAGAAGGTATATGAATACATAAACGGATATGAAACAGGAATTACTCTAATATCAAGTGATTAATTATTAAGTGATTAATTTTGTGATAGTCGATTTTCAATTCTGTCTTATCGTATGATCATTAGATATACGCAAACACATTTGTTTATTCCTGAAATATTCACTTGAGTAAATAGTAAAACAAAATATATCCATGAATTTTTATGTAAGGAATTCCTTTAATTCGATTTTCCATTAATAAATGTAGGTTTTCTTTATTCAGAGTTTAGATATTCCAGGAGTTAATAGATTTTCATCAGTGGTTAACTATATATATATATATATATATATATATATATATATATATATATATATATATATATATATATATATATATATATATATATATATATATATACGATTTTACTTCAGTACATCAGTTTGATAATTTTTATCGGTGTTCATGAATCTGAATCCATTCTATTTAACACTTACCTTATAATGTAATGGAGTTGTTGATTGTTATGTTTTACAAGTGACACTATTTAGTGACTGATTTGAGTTTCGGTACCACCACAGATCAATGAGCAAAAGACAGTTATTACCTTGTACTATGACGTTAACACCACCTGCAGAATAAAAAAATCTCCACTTACCACTTTATCCGGACTTTAATAATGTTCCTACTAGTGAATTACTTCAGAATGATTTCTCGACATTCTTGGAGGAAATTTGGTCGGTAGGGTTCAGACATGTCTAGAGTGAAATGGTTAAATGACCACGTAGTTGCATTGTTGTTTTTTGTTATTGGTATTATGCACAATTTTACAGTAACCTGGTGGTTTCAGAGGTTAATGATTCCTTAAAAACACCGAAGGTTCTGAGTTTGATATATAAGTTAGTCATAGATGAAACGGCTGTTTAGTTCTTCCTAGTTTCAATGCTACTACAGCTAAGATCAATTTTTGAAGAATACCACCTACAAATGTTTCACTATGAAATTAGATTTTACTAACAGCGGCAATAAACCAATAATTTTCATAAAGCAATTAAGCTGGTACATTGCTAATATATATAACTGACCTTTTTCTCTAAACTTTATATCAAAAGGACAAATAAATTGCCATTTCCTATCAGATATAAGTTTCTAGACAATTATGTATATTTTGGTATTTTCAAGAGCCATAGAAATAATATATGCTTTATTTGATTGCCGCCTTATTTAAGAAGTTATACTCAAAGTTTACTGCGGCAAGATGAAAAATGTTTAGTCGACTGCTACAGATTATGAAAAAAAGAAAATTTTAACTACCTACAATAAAAAATTCTTACTAAAAATGGATTTTGTTAAAAATTTATTCAAATTAAGGAAGTGATATCAACTTGAAAAATGTAGAATCAAGTCAAAGTAAACTGTCTACTGATTGTATGATCAAAGTTTATCTTATCCAAATTGAATATGTATAACTTCATCATGAGCATTTGTTTGCTAATAAAAATACAAAAGGTGGATTTCGCTGATATTGCATTTGTTATATCCGGACGAGGATAAATGAATAGTAACCTCTGATAATTAATGATGAACTAATATTTTGCAAATATTCTTATTGTATGACTATTAAATAACTATATCCTATGGATATTCATATTCCTTCCATCATAACACTTTATTTCATCCGTTGGTTACCGTTATATGATTTACTATCCTCAAGTTATTCTGAATCTATTTGTCACAGTTTCTCACATTCACAGTCACTTTTGGCTTGATCTTATACGAATGTTATTTTCTATTTTATAGTGTAATGTGGTCTGATTTGTTTGTATTTAAATCCAGTATGTTTGAAATATATGGTTCGTATCGCGGAGGCTGAGATTGGCATCCTGGGTTTAACAAACAGAGCTAGGCGGAAAAGGGACCAATCGGGATTCTAGACTCCTCATACTAGTGTATGAATCATTAGTTTGATCTTGTGGTTCAATGTACCTAAATTGGTAAAACGTATTTGGCGATATTCGTATAAGCTAAAGACATAACAATAAGTTAATAATAATTCATTAACATGTAGATGTATAGATTATGAGGAGTAAAATCTAACTTAAGTCTAGATCAAAAATGTCTAACGAAAACATAAATATTCAGCAAAATAGTTAATTATTTTAAACCCATCCATTTTCGAACATTGTCCATTTTTTCAAATGAATGATTGATATAGGTGTGTAAGAATAGCGATTTTTTTGAATGCTTAATAAAAGTGCAATATATAACATTTTCGAAACTTTCCTGTTCATTGACTGTCTCATAAATACATATAAGAGTAAACTTTCTCTTAGCAAGTTTACTTTCAACAGTCATAAAGCTATCTACACATGTCATCTATGAATATGCTACTATAAGGCATCCTTATCTGATTGATGAAACATAGCAAATAAAGCAAAAATTAGATACTGATATAAAATCTTCAGTGAAAATCATGCTCTTATATGCAGAATTTATCTACTAAATGAACACCAAACAATGAGAGGCAAATGCGTTAAAACATTCATGGGCAAATATCCATTTTTACCTAAGCGTTATGTGAAATCCAACCTGAGTCAATCGAAGTTTCATTTTATTTAACCATTGAAATAATTAAGGCATGTATTTTAATTTTAAGCGAATAAACTTGATATCGTTATCAAATAGCATAAACATGTTCTTTTGAAGTTTACATTAGAGTTCAAACACAGTTAAAAGTATTCCTAAAATTATCAAAATGAAAATAAAGACACGGAAATCTTTATTTCTATTAACCTCAATAAAACTAGGTGTGATAATTCACGACATATGCCCATAGTATAAGAGTATATATATATATATATATATATATATATATATATATATATATATATATATATATATATATAACGGGAAATATTTTTCTCAATATATCTTCATTGACTTCAAACAAAAACAATTTATGACAAATTCAGTAATATTAAGGTAAAGAGAAACTACTTCTATACATGTTTATAAATAAAACTATCTTTGACCAATATATTAAGAACGATCATCTACATGCTCTTACATACTAATTAGATTTAATTACTGAAATTTTAGCCGGATAAGTATTACAGTTGAAATAGGTCACCCTATTTTCTAAATTATCATTACGACCGCAATAGGAGGGGAAGCATATTATGAAGTTCGTCTCTCATATTTGATCTAATTAATATTGTTCTCATGGATTTAGGGCATTGACTTACAACTCAATCAATTTTTAAAATTTTAAATTATATCGCTGCATAAATTGTGTAATCATTTATTAAACACTTGAAGTGGTAGTTAATATGATTATTCCTAGTATTTATACTGATTTATATCTTCCCACAGAATTGGGAATAATTTATCGATAACGGACTCTTCCATGTGTGTATACCGGTTCAACTGCTCCAGTGAGATAGTTACATAAGCCTTAACCAGAGGGCTTTATCCTTGCATGTTCGTGAACGTGTACCAGCATGGTTGAGAAAAGGAGTTACTAAATCGATAAACAGTACTGTTCTTTCTCACTTGGTAGATAGTGAACATCATATCAAACTAGAGGAAATTTCCTCTTTTTTACTACAGGTTTCATATGATATATCTCAAGGACCTAGATTACGACTGCGTTACAGTGGTGAAGCCATCTAAATAAACTCCATAAAACTGAACTTATGTATAGAGAAAAGGCATATCCAGCCTTTATGTTTACCGTGGCCTATGACTGGATCACCAGCTACCTAAATCGGATATTAAAAACCTGTTATCCCTCGTCTCAATTTTGTGTGTGTTTATATCTCTTTTATTCTCTACCTTCAACTATCCTAATTCATATGAATCACCTTGATAACACCTCTCTTATTACTTATTATATTCACACAACGATATTATTATTATTACCTCAGTTAACATGATGAAATTCTCCTACTATGCATTTTATTCACACAATTTGTTTTCATTTTCATTTTTGCTATATTACTATCATACTGATTAGAACTTGACACTACTCCAAATCATTCCGACCTTAATTAAAGAATCTCACCAATTTACAAATAACACAATATTGAAGTAGTTACGTCATAACAGATGCAAACATTCATCATTTTTAACATATAACATTGTCAAATTCATCAGTATATGCCTTATTTTATCCTTTATAAAATATCATAATAATTACAGACTCATAACAATAGAGACTGATGATGAAGTTATTGAAAGTAATTGTTCACTCAAATATCCAGTTGTTCTTTTTTGTGAATACTCCATGAGAATTTTTACCCTACAAAAAGTTTAATTTAAAACCAAGTCTAATTATTTTGTTAAATAAACATTATCATAACAGATTAATAATGTAAATTAACTTGATTTCATTTATTGCAATTTAATTGTAGTTCTAATAGTTAGTTTATCATTATCAAAGTAAAACAAAGATTATTCAAACATATTTTGAAGTTAATCAACAAAAGATTTCTAACAAATGAAGTAGATATTTATCAATGAATAAAAGGGTGATAATTCATGGTCACATTATTCACTTCATATCTTGAATTGTTTATTCATAATATATCTGTGTCAAATGTTTGTTAGTAACTTTGTTTATTAATCTAACAACATGCAGCATGTAAACGTAATCTAATTTGCGATGGTGCTGATGATGTCGTTCAGAAGAAGGATGAAAGCCCCACGACC